ATTATTGTAAATATATAATATTAATGTACATTGTATAACTTATAATTAAAATTAATTAATAGTTAATATTAATTAATATGGTAATAATAATTAATTAATGTTATTATTAATAGCAACAAATAATAATTAATATTAATAAGATTTATAATCGAAAAAAGTCTCAATAAGCTCCCAAAACACTACTCCAAGTGGAGTAGCGTTTCAATAAGCTAAATTACGGTCATCCAAACATTATCCAAAAATTAAGCTAGCTTATACCCAAATACCTCTCATTTGCGATTTTAAATTTATATTAAATGAATTCTAAGGATTGAATTCAAGAAAATCCCAAAAATAATGTTCACCTTAAATAAAAAAGTTTGTTAAACAATGTGGTATTTTAAAAAAATATGTATCATTATTTTATACCAACAATACATAAATGGCATGGTACCATTTGTTGATGGATAGTTAGATCATCTACATCTCTGCAATCCATTTACACTTTTAATTGTGTCACATCAGCTTTTGCAATTATCTTCCATACACCTGCAATTCACCTACAACACTTTCAACTGTGTCACGTCAGCTTTTGCAATTACCACCTACACACCTGCAATTCACCTACACTTTCAAAAGTGGTTCCCACTACAACATTTATTAATTATTTATATATACATTCTAATTATTTTTTAATTAATAACATGTAGATTATATATACATTCTAATTATTTTTTAATCAACTTTTAGACGAATAAACATGTAATTTTATTTGTGTTGTTTTGTTAGTCGTGCRTGTTTTATGTTAGTTATATGTAATTTTATATATTAKATTATAATTTTATGTAATTATAAAATTTAATGTTTAAATTAATTTAGTTATATTATATTTATATTTTTTTTAAATAACATATATACATGCATAGAATATTTTCATATAAATAATTAATGTAATTAATAAATATATTAATATTATAAAAATTAATTTATTTAAATAATCAGAAAAAAAAAAAAAGAATTTGGAGAGGAGTTGATGGCCACGTGGCTTTCAATATGAATTGCAAAATTTGCAATTGCTTTCCTACATGGCATGGATCATTCTGACAAAATTGCTTTCCTACATGGCATAGATCATTCTGACAAAATTGCTTTCCTACATGGTATGGATCATTCTGACAAAATTGTATTTGCAAGTCCATTTGAAACCCCCATGTGGATGGTCTTACCATACCATCATTCAAAAAAGAGCTTGCAATTACAAATTTACAGTTGCTTATTATTGTTACCTGCTTAGCAAAGCAAGTTAATCAGATTCTTAAATAAACAAAAAATTTGATATAAATCCTTAAATGACGATTTTAAAAATTGGTTTCCCAAAATAGGCATCAAGTGAAAGTTGGTTCCATTTTGATGCAATTTTCCCATTAAAAAATTAATGAACTCCGGTGAAAAATAGTTACCGATAACCCACTAACTTTACATTTATAAAGATCTACAAATCTCTCGAGTTATTACGTGACGATGCTGAGAATGAATGATTCAAGTAAACTACAAACACGAACTAAACAATATATCAAAAACTAAGCAAAAACATTATAATGAAAATAAGTCTGATGTTCTGGCAAATACCATAACATGTGAAGATCTAATCATCAATGTCTGACTGATGAACATAGTCAACAAAACCAAAAAAAGATGATAATAATATCACATTTGCAAAATCTGGAAGGAATACCAATGTGAAGCCCACAGAAACCACAAACAAACTTCTTGTTACTGCCTAGATCTAGACTCGGCTCGCCTCGCTTCATCTGGAGTCGAAGGGAACAGCTCCACATAGCGTGACCCGATCATCATCTTGTCTTTCGACATGGCTTGCTTCGCTTCATCGGCTGATTCAAACTCCACATATGCCTCCCCTGTCGCTTTCCCATCTGGCCTGCAACCAATGTGTACTTTCCCATCCGCAACCTTAAAGTCTTTGAAGAACTCGAGAATCTCTGATTTCTTGACGGAAAATGGGAGCCCTCTTAGCTTCAGGATCTCAGTGTACTCCAGTTGAGTCTTATCTTGAAATCTTTTAGATCGAGCAGATGGTGGCGGGCTTCCATGGTAATCGTTATCAAAGATCCCTTCGTATTTCACCTCAGCCGCCACAGCATGATAGTAATCCTGCTTCTTGCACTTGAACACTTCCACGTACCTCCGGCCCATGTTCTGGCGGTCTTTTTGGAGGGCGAGTTCAGCCTGCATTGATCGCGTGAATACCACAAACGCTTCTCCAGAAAACCGGCCACTCTGGTTGACCATCAGCACGTCCACGATCTCCAGTCCAGAAAAAAACTTGAAGATATCAACATCTGTGCAGTTGAATGGCAGGCCTCTAAGACGGACCACGGGAAATGTTGAAGGCTGGAATCCACCGGTGTAGTCGTACGGATGGTAGCCGCCTGAACCGCTGCTCACTGCGAAGTAGGGATTGGATTCCATCATTCTTGGTCTCTTTGAGCCGATCTCGTACCCATCCGATAACCCCCCGCTCCCATACATTGCCCTTCAATTATTCATACCCAAGGAAAAAAAAAGTCCCCACTCAACCTTGTTAATAAAACCAAACCCAACCCATGTTTTTCCTATAACTAGCTTTGTTATTACCTTACAAATTTTGAAAAACAATGTCAAAAATTTAGCCCTCGATAAGCAAATATCATACATATGGTAATTTGATCCTCCAGATTTAACAATTTCATCGAAATAAGAGCATATAAGCATGCACATTGCAAGCAACAGCACAGACAATGATATATATATATGTATGTATATATATATAACTAATCACATCATATGCACAGACCTCTGTTTTGTATATGTTACAAATAAATTAAGACATGGACGTACACCAGGTGAAAGCCATCATCAAAATAGAGAACCATCTTGTAGAAGCCCCTAGTAGGCTAGTACAACTTTAAGTACTTCATATCACCAAGTACAAAACCATCCATGATGCCGTACAATGCATGAATTTCCCTTTAATTTCTTTCACTTCAAGATTTATTCCAAATTGTACCAAAAGAAGGTTATCCTAAGCATTACTTCTCCTAGAAAAATAAAATTCAGTAATTCTATAGGATGATCATCAGACCAGCTACGTTGTATGGGTGTAGGCGATGAGCAATTAAGAAGGTGCATTTTACAGATATTTCAAGTTGAGCATTACTGCCTATTCTACTTTGTTTTGGCACACTCAAATTTACATATACTTGAAAGGACTTCACCAAAGCTTCTAAACTTGCTTTTGTCTACCCAAAACATTTTCTCAAGCCAGGGATCTTCACAGAAATAGTCTCTCTAGTCATTGAGGTAAAGAAAAGGTCTACGTACATCCTACCCCCTCCCCCAAGCCCCTACTTCCGAGTGACATATACTGACTGTGTTTGGCTTGATCATCAGAATATCAACTTTTAATCAAACACCGGGTATAACATAAGGTAATCAACAATAATACCATAACTGTTTATCATTGCTCCAAGCCTAAAAAGACAACCTTGGTGCACCAAAGTCCTTGGCTTTGCAAGAGTTGAGTGAAGACTTCACACACAGATTCTCTTGCATTTTGCAAAGTGGTTGTTTCCGTAACTTAAACCCTTGACCTTCCAATCACAACTGAATAACCTTATGTTGCACAAGACCTCAAAGAACAAAAATCATCATGGCCGATCAGAATCGGTTGATACTTATGTTCTAATATAACAAATTCTGACATAGTTCAACTCCAATGTGATAAATGTAGCAAGATGATTAATCAAACTAAGGTGTGCCGTATTGCTTATACAAACAACTATAGTATAGCTAATTAACTAAGAAGAAAAAGTTAAACAACAATATCAATTATCCATGACCCTGGTCACTCCAAGTTTGTTGATAAAATCAAACATAAATAATACATTATGCATCATGGTTGAGAGGAATGCCAACTGATGCAACTTCGAGATGCTCAAATAGTTTGTGCTTTTACTGACCTTTTAGTTTAACGATGACATTAAACAAACGTTAAATGGAAATCTACACTATCACACCAGAGTTGATTTCTACTCCACAGACTTCTAAGTTGCCCGAGAAGTATTTGATCGCTTCAGGAATTAGGTGTAGCTATATTACAAGCTTAAGTTTTTACAAAAGCTCGCTCATAACAGAACTCCCTCCGTAAGTGACAGATCTATCACTATAAAGCGAATTCGATCTATAGTCGTCTTCTTTGTTCGAGAAATGCCCAAAATCCTACTTTTACAATTGGTAGGTCACTGGGTTATTCAAATGTCAAAAAAGTCCAGGGAAGCTTTTCAAGTAGGACTCGAACCTACGAGACAGGAGAGGAATTCTCTAAAAAGCCAAGGTCGTGGGTGGCCAAAAACTGCTCGACTATAAAGGATTGGAGCACATAATAAGTAGCGGAAGCAGTCTCGAACACCATCTAATATGAGGAATGGGACCTCCAGCGCCCTACTCAAAAAGTATGCCAGTGGTTGAATTACCAGAAATGGTATTATACCATGGCGCTTTCCAGTCATCAGCTGTCGGCTCGTTGGTAAGGTGAGAGCTTCAAGCCCGATTTTGTCTGGACTGGTTCTCTTGAGGGAGGCCTACAAATTGCACGCTATCTATAGGCATTCTTGCTCGTTACCTTCTGGATGGAACAAGAAAAGGTATGCGCAGGCGAAAGAATAATAAACGGAGCACACCACAGAAAGATTCTGTGGGGCAAGGCCACCCGGCCTCAAATATTGGATCACATAAGAACCTAAGCCTTCTACTTCGACTCAGGCTCAGACGAACCGAGAGTCCTGTCTATCCTTAGTCACAGCGAAAGACTTATTTATACTTTTGAGCTGCCCATAACGGTGATATTGTAGGTTAGAGCCCTACTAAGCCTACCACCCCCTGCTCTTCTCTTTCACCCCTTGCTGGTGAAAGTCTTGCGAATTATTAGAGGTTGAGAGGTTTTATGCGTACGACGGTCTTAGGGGGGACGAGCAAAAGAAGGTAAGTTACAGAACGGGGCAATGAAGGCTCGCGAAGTAGACAGCATGCAACCAAATAGCATACCTGCCTGCACGCACGAATGGCTAGGCGATCAAAAATGCCCGGTTGATGCTGCTGACATAKATGTAGATGGGGCGCTTTCAAAACCCCTTGAATCTGCTTGTTCCTGAATGCTCCATAGGAATCCATAGATTTCTCGAGATATTTTCTTACGAAGTTTTGTTATAGCATCTACAATTGCTTCTGGTTTAGGTGGACATCCCGGCAAATAGACATCCACAGGAATTATACAAAATCTTTCATGATCCATTCCGGAATTGGATAGAGCAGGATCAATCAAAGAAAATAGGCTCAAGAGAATAACCAGTTTTCTTCTTCTTATAATCCCATCAATTAGGGGTGGTAGGCGCCTGTAAAGAAGATCGCTTCTATTACTACTGAAATAGTTAGTCAGGAATGTACACTAATTTTCTCAAACCACCTGTATGTATTAATGGGAAGAAAAGAAACAGAAGTATCACCCTACAGAATTTGATAAGTGGCACAGGATGTTCAATATACACTGCATTTACACCAATTATCTATAGAAGTAAACAGACTCAAAAATATGACTTCCACCAAGTCAATGTGACACTCTATCGCTGGATTATATCCCTTCCCTACCCCATTGAGAAATAGAGCCTATTAATCCTAAGACAAAGAGCCCAAGATACAATGAAGAAGTAGCAACCAGTTTTCTCCAAATAAAAATGTAATAAAGCTTGCACATGCCAAAGATGTCCTGGTATGAAGAACCCCAATGGCAAACTGAGCTCCTATGATCATAACCAATCGGCCCATTTTTAAAGCAACCCCACATATTTCCTTATTATACCAAATATCAGGTTTCAATTCTTCTGTTCAAGTTTTGATCATCATTCTATCTAGTATGCTAGCTCTAAGTACATCATAACTGATCATTCATAGTATATCTAATACAATTTTATAGTTAGACCTGGACAACATGTTGATTACCCTTTTAAGTGCAAGAACCAAAAGTAACCAGCATGTTATAAGTTATAACTCAAAACTGGATGAAAAGTAATACAGGAGCTAACAGTAGCTGATTAGTCTGCGTTCCTGATTTGTACTTGTCGTTCTCTTTTGTCTTTGTTCAACTGAATTGGTTAGAGAAGAGAGAGAAAGAGTGGGGTTTTGTGGAAAGAATTGAAGGAGAAATATATGGTAGGGGTGATGGCAGATTCTTTTCATGATTTTGTTGGATGAAAATATCCACCTCTTCTCTCATCTTCTTCCTATTTGTTCTCCCCTCCTTTAAAATGTAATCACTGTCATGCCTCACTATTTTAGTCGCTGGCTAAAACCGGTCAACAACAAATACACCAAGAAGAAATGGGATTTTTTTCCCCAAGAACTTGCTGCCCTAAGCCCGTCAGTCTATTAGGAATTTAGATGCTAGAAACCAAGAATCAATCTGCTAACCAATTCAATGCCTTTAGACCTTCTGGACACATAACTTACTTCATTTTGATGTGATATCAGGTTCTTCTAGGTCGTAACTTTTAAACGAGGTTGGATATTACTTTTCCCAAGTATGTTCCTACTAACAACTTTTTGTCATCATGAATAAGCAAAAGATTTGACAGACTACCAGATAGACAAAAAGTGCAAAAACCAGATTAAGTCCTCGAATATCAATCCTTAATTTTCAAAATTTTATTCTGAATTCCAAATTTATGGAAACGAAATCAACAGAACAATAGAATTCTCCACCTTCTTGGATACCCAAAAAACAACAAAAATCGATAAACAAAATAATTGTGGAGCAACAAACGATTGCGAAAAATTGCAAACAATCCTATGCGGTAACCCACGATAGTAGATCAAAAAACCCAACACATAAGCGCAACTAAATTAATCCGTATAACAAAAACGAGAAATATTGTTCAGAGAACTTACCCCCTGGATCCGTACATGTCTCTTCAAGGATTCCGACACGAAGCTTGGATTCAAGAACAGAGACAAAGAAATCAAACAATAAATATCTTGAATCGAAACTGATAGGTGGATGTGGACGATGAAAACCCTAGCTAGGGTTAGAAGCGAACCAACGGAGGTTTGAGAGAGATATATAAACGATTTCTCCCTTCGCTTGGCTTATTTCCTTATATTCTGTTCATGTGCAATGAGGCGGAAACTTTTTTATTTACATTTTTATAAAGTTAAAATTATATATTTATAGAATTCTCTTACGGGAAAATGCTCTAATTTTCTATATTCTACTCATTTTTTATATTTTCGGTTAATTTTATTTACGTAATATTTTTTTTGGGTAATTTTGAGTTTTTGGTCAGTTTTTATGCATCGAAGCGATTAGAGTCATCGCAGGTGAACCTTCATGGCCACAACGACTTTGGCAGCTTCTGGATTCGAGCTTATAGTAGATGAGATTTTCTACTACAATTTGGTATTCACGTCATCAATAACTACACCTAGATCGTTCAAACCCCATCTGGAACGCATTTGTCAAACCTTAACTAATAATACAATATAACTTGATATTAATCATCTCTTTTCCATGGTTATCCGTGTTACCTTTATTTGTTCAATTTCTTCGTGTCTGTGATTATTCGTTTTTTTACAGAATAAATAAATTAATGGATGTGGTTGCTATATGGAAAAAAAGGTGCTTGAAAAGGCTTTCTTACTTGGCAAAAGGCAAAGTATAGGGCTATCACTCGAGGAAGGGGCGACAGTTCGGCTATTGACGAACGCTCTCATACACTGTTACTAACTTAGGGGTGAGGTTAAAATCTTGTTATGATTTGTTTTACTGTTACTTTGGTTATTCTGTCTATTAGCTCTCCCCATATTTCGTCAGTTCAAGTCTCCCCATGGCCACTGGGGTTTTATGTCTGTTATCTTTAAGGCACATATGATTAATCGAGTTTACAAGCAAGATGATCTGGACAGGCGGACACCTGTTATTACCAAAAAAAAATGTTCCACTTTCAACATCGATTAAAATTCAAATTACTGTTCAAAGTCTGGGCTGTGTGTACAAGTTTATGTGAAAGTATATTATTTACTTATCGATAGGCCCATTGATGAATTTACTCCACAACTAAATTCCACTGTGCAACATCATGAACCATATTTATGTTATGGGTTGTTGCTAACGACATCAGTTGTTGGGCATTTTGCTTCTCTTCACTTTATGTTGCTATCTTTTTTTAAGTATATAATATTTATATACAACAAAAACTTATATATACTTCTCACCTTACGTGAGGTCTGAACCTTTGACCTTTTAGAAGACTATATTCTACCGATATCCAAGGTATCACTGCGTGAATGACCCTTCAGTGTGTTGCTGTGTTTGCACTTGTGTGAATCATGCTTGTTATGCCATTGCAATACCTTAGTTGTTATGTCCTTGTGTAGATAATTTTATTTTTGGATAGCCATTTTAGCTAAAAAGTAAACCTGGACAACACAAGGACAAATGTGATCATAAAGTTTGTTGTCCTCTTTAATCTTAAAAGCTTTTATGTGCAATTATAGTGTAGTGTTGTAATAGTACTTGGTTGTGTACTGATTAAATGTGGTTACGACATAAATATAAGTGTGGCCATTAACATCGTGCAACACAACATTCGTGTGACCCTTGCTTGTTGATGAAGAGATATATATATATATATATATATATATAAGTATACACACACACATTTGACTCCCTCTAACAATTGATGTACCTCATGCATATAATACAATACATGGCATGTATGATCGTGTTATTGGATATTCAAATATGTAGTCATATTTTTACAGTAAAACACTAGTTGGTATTAGAACTGAAGTGATCAGATTGCGTGTGCGACTTATATGACTCGGGTAGGAGATGCACTGGATACGACCTTGATGCATAGAGGATGGAGCACTAGACAATAAAGTTGAATATATATATATATAGAGGAGTGATCATATGAAAACCGCCCTCATTTGTGTAAACCGTGCAAACCACCTTCATCTGTCGATTTCATTGTTTAATCTTATGAAATTTTTTCATGAAATTGTTTAATCTTGTGAAATTGTTTCATATAATACTTTTTTGATGAAGTTGTTTCATATATGGTTGTGAAATTGTTTCATATAATACTTAATGAAACTGTTTCATGTATTTCTCTAACATTAATGAAACTGTTTCATGTATTTCTCTAAAATTAAAATAATGAAGATGATAATATCTATGATTATATATATATATATATATATATATATATATTATTAACCTGGATATCCAACCCGCTATGCGAGCCGACTAACGGGTTGGATATCCATATTAATAAAAAAAACTTGTAGAATAAAAAAAATTCTTGAAACAAGAGAAAGTTTTGAAAATTAAATAAAAAGAAAAGAGTCAGTTTAGTCGTCGACTCTAGCTAAAAACGCACACATAACAATTAAATGATTTCTTCATTTGTTTATATCTACGACATCTATTGACTAACTGCCCATGCCCACCTTCATAGCCACTACAGTGCCTAATAGAATCCTACGAGAAATCAACAACCCTAATATGTTGCCCTCGATAACATATATATGAAGTCATATACTTATTAACTATCAACGTCTCAATGTCGCGCCTCGACTGTTTATTAGGCATTCTCCTTGACATGCCTCACCTCCTCACCCTTTTGACCATCACGCTTTCGACCTTCCTCACAGACGATTTATATATGTATACAGTGTCTTACTCATAGAAGATTCTCCAACTCTTGCAAAAAATTGTACAGACTTCTTTTACTTGCAAATCATTTACATATTTATTAAATGAACATTCACATATTTTGTTGTGATTCTGATCACTATAAGTACCATCATCATGTAGGATTGCACGTATACAGTGTCATCTATATAGAGGCCATACAGTAACCCCTATCCTCCATAATAATTATATGCATTAGACCTACGTAGGGATCCTTGGTAGTTTCCCCTACTTAGTCCATCCCATCGAACCCATGTATTAAATGTAACGATTTGACTTTCACAAATGTTACATAACGTCGTAAGATTCATAAATAGGGTCATCTCTCTATTAGCTAGTCAAGTATTTAAAACTGTAATAATTTATTATATGTTTTAGAACAGAAAAGTGAATGACAAAAATGGTCCATAAACTATTTATCAATCTGCAGGTTTTGCAATTTAATTAAAAATGTTGCAATTCTTGATCCAGGCATTGACATTTGTTCCGCGGATTTAGTAAGGCACTAACGGTGTCATGTGTCACAACTGTGAACCTTTTTAGGACCCTATGTGCTCCTATGTCGATTCATTTTCTGCTACCACCAGGCATTGTTACCATGTCTACGATCAAATATGATGGTAAGAATTATGAGTCGTTTACCAAATGTTTATCGAGTGTCATTTACGTTACTGGGTGGGTATGACAAGAAACAAGAATTTTACTTGTAAGTGAGAGGTACGACTCTTATACGATTAATGTTTACTGGGTAAGAGACGTTTACAAACGTTCTATTAAAATAAGGGGTGAGCAAAACCCAACCAAACCCGAAAACCCCCGACCCACATAACCTGAACTAACCCGATCTCTGAAATCCAATTTTTTGACGTGTTACTTGGTTCGGGTAGGGTTCCATCTCCATAATCCGAACCCGTCCAAAACCCGAATAAGCTATTTTATTAATATTTTTCTAATTTTTATGTATTTTTTTTTCCTAGAACCTAATTGAAGACGTCGACTGGAATTTGGATTTTTAAAATTTGGGTGCAAAGGAAGGAGTTCTATTAATGTTGGGACAAAAGAGCAAAAAATATGGCATCAACCTGAAACCCGATTCGATCAAACCTGAAAGGCAACGTGGCTCAAAGCTCGAAAATCCCACACACCCGATTTTGATATTCGGGAGCTACATGTCAAAATCAAACCTGAAAACCAATCGGGTTATGTGTTTTCTCCCCCAACCCCACCCGTGTTCACCACTAATTTTGATGATAAAAAATAGTACCTGATAAGGTAAGTGAGGGTGGTGAGTATTGCCTGTAAATATTTAATAGATAACTCTTTGAAACATCTGCAACAAAATTTCCAAAATAGAGAAAACGAATATTTTAGCGTTTTTCTTACTTTAACCAACTCTCCAAAAGATTCTCCAAAATAAAGGAATTAAATATTTAAAAATATAATTCAATTTTTTTTAAATTTATTTTGGAGGAGAGAGAATATAAAATCAATATTTTATAAAGATCGTTGATAAGTAATATAATATGCGTCATGTATAATCGTGTTATCTGATACTCTAACATATGGTCATATTTTTAGTAGTAAAACAGTAGCTGGTACTAGAAATAAAGAGATCGTATTGCGTATCTGGTTTGTATGACTCAAGTAGGAGATGCATTGGATACGACTTTGATGCATATAGGATGGAACACTAGATAATAAAGATGAACATAATAGCTAGTTGTACTGATTGCTTAAAGTAACAGACAATAAATTCTTGTAGAATCTACTATTACTTGAACACATGTACACAAGGACACAAACATAAATTATTGTAGAATCACTGTCACATACATGATTTATAGCATGAGATCCCACATAAACTAAAATCAAACAAATTTAGGATATCATTACCTTCGGAGGTCAGATATATGCAGACCTTTCCTCTGCTTTAACAGTCATACAAACTATTTTTCAAAAGACCCCCCGACTTACGAATATTTTTTGGAAAGAAAAAATCTACATTCACTTCACTGCATGATTAATGCACTTTAAAAGTGCAGCAGCTGCACTGCACTGCACCTCACATCTCGGAACAGTGAAAACCATATATTGTAGAACTTTCGGCAGGAGCCACAAAGACGATTATAAAAAGATACTATGATTTTACTCAAACAAGAACTCCCCTCCGTAAGTGAGAGATCTATCATTGTTGGTCACGCGAGCAGCATACCTGCTAGAGAAATCGTCTCCCTTTTTCCAAGATAGATAAAGCTAGTACAAAGATTGTGAAGCCACGATTTTGCAAATAATAATTAGTTAATCATTATAAAGAAATGTTTAGGGAAAAAATGCAAAAATCTTGAAACAATCGAAAATTTTGAAGATGAAATAAAAAAGAAAGAGTCGGTTAAGTCGTCGACTCTAGCTAAATTATACAAATAACATTTAAATGGTTCGTTCATTTGGTTATACTATAACATATATTGACTCAATACAACCCCCCCTTCATACCCCTACAGTGCCTAAATAGAATCCTACAAAAAATCAACAACCCTAGTATGTGGCCTCTAATAATAATATATATATATATATATACATATATATATAGAGGAGTGATCATATGAAAACCGCCCTCATTTGTGTAAACCGTGCAAACCACCTTCATCTGTCGATTTCATTGTTTAATCTTATGAAATTTTTTCA